GATCCTAGCCACAGGGAACAACATCTACTGAGTCTACTAGTCCCAATCATAACTACATTCCTCATTTCCCCCCGTTTTGAATAGCTCCCTGTACCACGGTGCTGTGGTCAGTTTGTTCATCATCCCATCCCACCCAACTCTCATCCAATCTCTCTAATCTTTCCTTGTATCTAAAATCCCTTATTCTAGTAAATTTCCTTTGAACTCTCTCCAGGGCTTTAGCATCCTTCCTTAAATAAGGTGCCCAGAACTGAAGACAATATTCCAAATGTGGTCAGACCAATGATTTGTAGAGGGGAAGCATCACTTAGTCAGTCACACAGCACAGAAACAAACCCTTTGGTCCAACCAGTCCATGCCGAACATAATCCAAAACTAAACTATTCCCACCTGCCTGCAGTTGGCCCATATCCCTCTAAACCTTTCTTATTCATATACTTAGCCAAATGTCTTTTAAACACTGTAACTGTATCCACATCCACCAGTTTCTCTGGAAGTTCATTCCACACACAAACCACTCTATCTAAAAAATTTGTCCCTCACGTCCTTTTTAAATCTTTCTCCTCTCACCTTAAAAATACATCCCTTAGTCTTGAAATCCCCCACCATAGGGGAAAGATACTTTTTCTTCCTTGCATTTATACTCTATGCCTCCATTTACAACCCAACAATCCTGTAATCCTTCTTAATAACTGTTTCCACTTGCCTGGTCATCTTCAGAGAATTATGCACGTGAATCCCAAGGTCCCTCTGCTCCTGTACTCACCTCAAAGTTGTACCATTGAGCCTGTATCATTTCTGTGTTTTTTTTTTCTATCAAAATGCACTACCTCACATTTCTCTGCACTGAAATCCATCTGCCAGGTGGCAGCCCATTTGGCCAACTTGTCAATGATCCTCTGAAGGAGGAACTGAGGAAGAGTCACTGGACTCGAAACGTTAACTCGTTTCTCCTTCACAGATACTGCCAGACCTGCTGATCTTTTCCAGCAACTTTGTTTTTGTTCCTCTTAAGTCAGTCAGCATCATCCTCACAATCTACTATTTTCCCTAGTTTAGTATATTTTGTAAATTTAGAGATTTTGCCCCCAGTACTCATCCTCAAATTGTTTATATAAATCAGAAAAAGTAAGGGTTCCAACACCGATCCCTGGTAAACATCACTTTCAACTCATCTCCAATCTGAGAAATGCCCATCTATACCTACCCTCTGTTTCCTGTCCTTTAGCCAACTTCTAATCCATGTGGCTAAGGACCCATCATCCCAAACGTTTCTAATTTGCTAACCAGCCTGCCATGTGGCACTGCACAAAATGCTTTCTGAAAGTCCAAATACACAACATGCACAAAAATAGAGATTGCTGGAAAAGCTCAGCAAGTCTGGCAGCATCTGTGAAGAAAAATCACAGTTAACGTTTTGGGTCTGGTGACCCTTCGTCAGAACTGATGGTAGCTAGGAAAATGTCGGTTCATATGCAGAAGATAGGGTGGGGTGGAAGGGGTAAGGAGTAATTGATAGGTGGGGATAGTGCCCAAAGACAGAGAAGAACAGTTGGACAGACAAAGGAGTGGGTACGATCTGGAAAGGAGGGTGAACAGCTGTTAATGGAGACTGTTAGTGGCTAACAATAGGTAGTGTGTAATGGCAGGCTATGTGATAACAAGGCCTGGTGTGTGGCGTAGGGGGCTGGGACATGGGAGAGATCAGGCCCTAAAATTATTGAACTCGATCTTGAGTCTTGAGGGCTGCAGGGTCCCCAAGTGGAAAATGAGGTGTTGTTACTCCAGCTTGCGCTGAGCTTCGCTGGAGTCCTGCAGCAAGCCAGAGACAGAGATGTTGGCCAGGGAACAGGGTGGTGTGTTAAAGTTGCAGGCAACTGGAAGCTCAGGGTCCTGTTTGCAGACAGAACGTAGATATTCTGCGAAGCGGTCACCCAATCTACGCTTCATTTCCCCAATCTAGAAGGGACCACATTGTGAGCAGCGAATGCAGTGGGCTAGGTTGTGTAAAGTGCAGGTAAAGTGCTGCTTCACCTGGAAGGTACGTTTGGGCCCTTGGATACTGAGGAGGGAGGAGGTAAATGGGAAGTAGTTACGCCTTCGGCAGTTGCAGGGGAAGATGCCATGGCGGGGGCGGGGGCGGGGGCGGAGGCGGGGTGGTGGGTGGGGAAGAGGGGTGGTGTTGGGAGTGAAGGAAGAGTGGATCAGGGTGTCCCAGAGGGAACGGTCCCTGTGGAAGATGGACAAGGGAGGGGAGGGGAATGTGTGTCTGGTGGTGGCATCTCGCTGGAGGTGGCAGAAATTATAACTTTTGATCTTCTGGCTGTGGATGCTGGTGGGATGGCAGGTAAGAACAAGGGGAACCCTATTGCTGTTGCAGGAGGGAAGAGATAGGGTAACAGCAGAAGTGCAGGCAATGGGCCAGACCTGGTTGAGGGCCCTGTTGACAATGGTGCCGGGGAATTCTCAGTTGAGGAGAAAGGTAGACATTTCAGAGGCTCCCTTATCAAAGTTGGCCTCATCGGAACATATGCGACAGAGACGGACGAACTGGGAGAACGGGATGGAGTCTTTATAGGAAGCAAGGTACAAGGATGTATCGTCCAGGTAGCTGTGGGAGTGAGTGGGTTTATAGTGAGATATTGTGGCCAGTCTATCCCCAGAAATGGAAACAGAGATGTCAAGGAAGGGAGGAGTCAGATAGACCAGGTGAAAGTGAGGGCGGGGTGGAAATTGGAAGCAAAATTGATAAACCTTTACAATTCTGGACAAGAGAGAGAAGCAGCACCGATCATATCATTAATATGTTGGAGAAAGAGTTATGGTTGGGGGCCGGAATAGCACTGGAACAAGGAATGTTCTACTTACCCCATGAAGAGACAGGCATAACAGGGGCCCATGCGGGTACCCATGGCAACCCCTCTGACCTGAAGAAAATGAGAGGAGTTAAAAGAAAAGATGTCGAGAGCGAGGACGAACTCAGCCAAGAAAAGGAGGGTGGTGGGTGGGTGGGGATAGTTCAGGCCTTTGCTCAAGGAAGAAACGGAGAGCCGAGAGATGGACATATAAAGGGATCGCACGTTCATGGTAAAGAGACGGTGGCTGAAGCCTGCTTAATTGGAAATTCCAAAAATGGTGTAAAGCGTCAGAACAATCACAGAGGTACATGGGCAGGGACTGGACCAGGGGAGAAAATACCAAGTTAAGATAGGAAGATATGAGTTCTGAAGGGCAGGAGCAGGCTATCCAGACAATCCTGTTTGTGAATTTTCAGAAGGAGGTAGAAGCAAGCTGTGTAGGGCTGGGGGACTATCAGCTCGGAGGCAGTGGAGGGGAGATCACCAGATGAAATAATAGCCATAGTTGATACAGTTGTTGATGTGCTATGGTGGGGTCATAGTCCAGAGGAAGATAGGAGGAGGTATCTGAGAGCTGGCAATCAGCTTCTGCAACAGAGGTCTGTACGCCAGACTACAACAGCACCACCCTTATTGACAGGCTTAATGACAAAGTCAGGGTTGAATCTAAGCACACTGAGTGCAGTCAGTTCAGAGGGAGATAGGTTGGTTTGGGTGAAGGGGGGCAGAGCACGATCCTCATCCACTGCCTGTCAAAGAACTCAATTAGTCAGGCATGAGATAGTAGGAACTGCAGATGCTGGAGAGTCTGAGATAACAAGGTGTAGAGCTGGATGAGCACAGCAGGCCAAGCAACATCAGAGGAGCAGGGAGGCTGACGTTTTGGGCCTAGACCCTTCTTGCCCGAAACGTCAGCCTTCCTGCGCCTGAAAATGCTGCTTGGCCTGCTGTGTTCATCCAGCTCTACACCTTGTTATCTCTTTAGTCAGACATGATCTGCTTTCAAAGGTGTGTAAGATTACAAGGGCTATGGACAGGGTGGACAGAAAGCAGATACCCGAGTCAAAGGGGCAATAACAAGGGAGCATAATTTTAAGGTGCAAAGCAGAAGGATGACAGAGATTGGAGGAAAAACGTTTTCACCCAGAGAATGGTGGGTAACTGGAATGCACTGCCTGAGAGAGCAGTTGATGTAAGAAATCTCACAACCTTTAAAAAAAGGTATTTGGATGAGCGCTTGAAATGTCATAACATTCAAGGCTGGAAACCTTGTGTGGAAAAGGGGGACTAGTGTGGATTTATCACAGCTTTGGCAGTACAGACTCAATGGGCCAAAGGGCCTCTTCTACAGTGTTCTAGACTCTCCAGCCAGGGGGAAATAACCTCCCTGTATCCACTGAGTCAAACCTCCTCAGAGCATTATATGTTTCAACAAGATCACCTTTCATTCTTCAAACTCCACAGTATCGTCCCATTTCACTTGATCATTCTCACAGGACACCTGTCAATGCAGTTCTCCATATTAGTAAATGATAGAAGGGGACGGAGAAAGATCGAAGAAAAATAAAATTCAATAATTGCAACAGAACCAGGAGAATACATTAAACAAACCAGGCTCACTTGTCTGGAAAACAAAAAGCTGAGGGATGATTTGAACAAGATTGAGGTCTGATAGGATAGACATAGAACAGGTATTTCCACTTTTTGAGACAATTCAAATTAGGAGCTATGGAGTATGAGACAGTCATTAATGGATCCAAAATGAAATTAAAGAGGAATTTCTTTATCCAGAATGGTTAGAATGTGGATAGCAAACAGCGATTGAGGTGAGTAGCATGAATATGGTTTAAGGGAAGCTGGGATAAGCATAAGACAGAGAAAAGAATGTAAGAATGTGTTGGTCAAGTGAGATGAAGAACAGGCAGAACTCATGCCTAACATAAGTTGCAGCGTGGATTATTTCAGTTGAATGGCCTGTTTCTGTACTGTACATCCATTTACTTGTATATAAAGTCAAGTCAACCATGTGAAGAACAGTGGCAAGGTAACAGTAACTGTTGGTAAGAACTTTCCAAGTGAGCAGGTACAGGAGACTGACAGATTAAAAATAAAAATAAAGACAAATTAAATGTCAACAATTCATTTGATTGAAGTACTTCTTTATTTTTAGCTATTTATTTGTTCATCTTATTTTGAGAATGTTATGTTCGATTGCAGTCGGCCGCTAAATTTCCCTTGGGTCCAAAATCTCTCCAGTGCCCATCACCGTAAATTGTTGAGGCACTTTCAGAAAATGTTACAGACATAAAGAAGGGTCCTGTTCTTAACAAAAGTAAACTTTAACTCCTCTCCACATTGCATAGAAAGAAAAGTGGGTTTGTGTGGTGGGGTCAGTCTAGGAATCAGAATTGCATTGTGAAGCATTTATTCAATGTAAACAAATGGATCTTTCACTGCTCGTATTTCTCGATGTGTTGTCGTGCAATGATCATTCTCTGGATTTGAGCAGTGCCTTCGTAGATCTGGAAAAGTTGTTGTATTTAAAAATGTAAATCAGAAAATGCAGCATGATTTAGTTTGTACATGTAACAGAAACAATCAAAATCAAATTAATTTGCTGCATAAGAAATAGCTGCAGCCATTATTACTTTATGTATAAATAGCAATAAATCGTTGTAAATAACATGCATTTACATAGCACTGTTAATGTAACAAAGATCCCCAAGCACTCCACTCAAAATCTGATACCAAGCTTCATGAGGTGGTAGCGGGACAGGTGACAAACTAGGAGGTTTTAAGCAGAGCTTTAAAGAATGACACACACACAGGGATTTTGGGTGGTGGTTTTGGTGGTGGAGGGGTTGGTGATTCCAGAGCTCAAGGACCATGTAGCTGAAGCCATGGCCACAAATGGTTCATGCATTAAAATCAGGGAGAGATTCCAACTGGAGGTGCGGAGAGATCCTGTAGGGACGGAGGTTACAGAAGTTGGTGAATGGACTAAGGCTGGGAAAGCATATTTTTCCCCAAAATCAATGTATTGTCAAATTAGGTGTCAGTGACAGAATAGGACAAATGAACAAGATTTTGAGATATGGTCAGCAGAGTTTGAAAGTCTTGAATGAAAAACAGAAATAAAACAGAAACCAGTTGGGGAAGAGCACAATGTCAATGATGTATTGTAGGCTCCATCGCTATCAGGTTGTCTGATTCAAACTGACATAACAAAGCAATGCTCATGCTCACTGACTCACATGTGCTCATTTAAACCACAGTCACTGAGACTTCACCATAGGAGAAACACACAATGTTCAAATCAGAACAAAACCAGACAGGAGGTCAGGCAAATGTCAAAAGGACTCCATGTTAAATAGTGCACAAGAAAACATCTGACTCCCGATGGCAGCTCATACTGTGACATTAAAGAGAAAGGAGATTGCACAACCTTCAAATACTTGCAGCCAAATTTCTGAAATACAGGGATTATTTTAATGTTGGGAAATCAGCAGTCATAATGTGTGGTGAGATAAATGAGCAGCAAAATGGCTTTAAAACCCTCCCACTTCCTACAGTCTAAGGGGGTGGCCATGGGAACCCGCACGGGCCAAAGCTATGCCTGCCTCTTCGTAGGATACGTGGAACAGTCCCTCTTCTGCTGTTACACTGGCACTATCCCCCACCTCTTCCTCCGCTACATTGATGACTGTATCGGCACCGGCTCGTGCTCCCACGAGGAGCTTGACCAGTTCATCAACTTTACTAACACCTTTCACCTCAACCTCAAGTTCACCTAGACCATCTCCGATACCTCTCTCTCCTTCCTGGACCTCTCGGTCTCCATCTCTAGTGACCGCCTTGAAACCAACATCTATTTCAAGCCCACCGACTACCACAGCTACCTAGACTACACCTCCTCTCACCGACCTTCCTGCAAGAATGCGATCCCTTACTCTTAATTCCTCCGCCTCCACTGTATCTGCTCGCAAGTTGGGGCATTCCACTCCCGAACATCCCAGATGTCCTGCTATTTCAGGGACCGCAACATCCCCCGTTTGGTGGTCGAAAATGCCCTCAACCGCATCTGTTGCATTTCCCGCACCTCTGCATTCACACCCCCTCTCCGCAACAAAAACAAAGACAGAATCCCCCTTGTCTTCACATATCACCCCACTAACCTCCGGATTCAAAGTATCATTCTCCGCCACTTCCACCACCTACAATCCGATCCCACAACCGAAGATATATTTCGCTCCCCACCCCTATCTGCCTTCCGTAGGGGCCATTCTCTCTGCAACTCCCTCGTCTGCTCCACACTCCCCACTAGCCCTACCACCCCCGGCACCTTTCCCTGCAACCGCAGGAAGTGCTACACCTGCCCCTACACCTTCACCCCTCAACCCCATCCAAGGCCCCAAACAAACCTTCCACATTAGACAGAGGTACACCTGCACATCCATCAACGTGGTTTATTACATCCGCTACTCCCGATGTGGCCTCCTCTACATCGGTGAGACCAAGCGGAGGCTCGGAGACCATTTTGTAGAGCACCTGTGCTCTGTTCGCGGCAAACGACAATACCTTCCAGTTGCAAACCATTTCAAATCCCCCTCCCACTCCCTGGGTGACACGTCCATCCTGGGCCTCCTCCAGTGTCACAATGATGCCACCCGCAAACTAGAGGAGCAGCACCTCATATTCCACCTCGGCAGCCTACAGCCCGATGGCCTAAATGTGGATTTTACCAGTTTCAAAATCTCCCCACCCCCGACCTCATCCCATGACCAACCCTCCCTCTCACCCCGCCTCCTTGACCTGATACAACCTGACCATCTTCTCTCCCATCTATCTACTCCTCCTACCTCACTGACCAATCCTCACCACATCCTACCTGCACTCACCTGTCACTATCCCGCCTACCATCCCCAGCCCCACCCCTCCTCTCTCTATTTATTTTTGAGCTCCCTTCCCCCTCCCCATTTCTGAAGAAGGGTCCTGACCCGAAACATCAACTTTCCTGTTCCTCTGATGCTGCCTGGCCTGCTGTGCTCCTCCAGCTCCACAGTGTTATTATCTCTGACTCCAGCATCTGCAGTTCTTACTATCTCTGCTTTAAAACGATGCTGCTGAGGGTTAAATATTGGCTAGGACACTAGAGAGTGATCACACAGAGTCTCAGTTTAAAGTATCGTCCATTGCAGCCCTCGATGTCTGATTCATGCACTCAAGTTACTTGACTGGTAAATATCAGTTTAAAGAAGAAGGCTGTTTAAAAGGGAAGTGGGCTTCTCGGGGTTATTGGAATACAATAGCAAAGAAGTTATGTTTTATAAACACAGGTTAGGTCTCAACATGGCTCTTTGAAACAGCCTTCTCATCATTTAAAAGCTGTTAAGTACTTAAATATGAATGTCAAATCTTACACTGGGTGATGCCATGGATGAGACGTTAAACCAAATGATCTGTCTGACCTTTCCTGGATGTTAAAGCCAATATTTGTACTACCTTGTTCAATTAAAGGCGGCATTTGGCATACGTGCCTTCATTGGTCAGAGCATTAAGTATAGGAGTTGGGACATCATGTTGTGGCCATACAGGACATTGGTGAGGCCACTTTTGGAATACTGTGTACAGTTCTGGTCACCTTGTTATAGGAAGGATATTATTGAATTGGAAAGAGTGCAGAAAAGATTTACAGGATGTACCAGGAGGAGGGTTTGAGTTATCAGGATCGGCTGGGACTTTTATTCCTGGAGTGTCGGAGGCTGAGGGGTGACCTTAGAGGTTTATAAAATCTTGAGGGGCATGGATAGGGTGAATAGCAAGAGTCTTTTCTATAGAATCTCTACAGTGTGGAAACAGGCCCTTTGGCCCAACCAGTCCACACCGAACCTCAGAGCATCCCAACCAGACCCATCCCCTTGTAACCCACCTAATTTACACATCCCTGAACACTACGGGCAATTTAGCATGGCCAATCCACTTAACTTGCACATCTTTGGACTGTGGAAGGAAACCGGAGCACCCGGAGGAAACCCATGCAGACACGGGGAAAATGTGCAAGCTCCACACAGACAGTCGCCCGAGGGTGGAATTGAACCCAGGTTTTAAAACATTATTAAATTAAAATTTGATGTGTATAAATAATAAGCTAAACACAAATACTAAGCTAAGTTGTTCTTTAGGGAAGGAAACTGCCATCCTTACCTGGTCTGGCCTACATGTGACTCCAGACCCATAGCAATGTGGTTGACTCTTAACTGCCCTCTGGGCAATTAGGGATGGGCAATAAGAACTGCCTAGCCAGCAATGCCCTCATCCCATGAATGAATAAAGATAAGAAAAAAACAGTGGTTGTTTTAAGTTCTGTCATTGAATGTTAACATTGATGGCTCGACCAACACTTATTGCCTTTGTGGTGGTGGTAGGGAGCCACCTCCTAGAATTACTGTAGTCCATATCATGTAGGAACTGCCACAATATTGTTAGGAAGGCAGCAGAAACCCAAGTAGTTATATTATTAAAAGTCCCTACTTATAAATTCAGAAAGTAAATAAAACAAGGTTAGATAAGGATAATAGTGTGGGTGTGTGCTGCGAGTTTCTAGAGAGCACTATGATCCTGAGCCACTACATGTGCAACTGTCTGCAACTCTCAAACTCCTGTTTGTGGGAAAGACTAGAAATAGAGGAATCAGTTTAAACATCTGCAATCATCTATTTCAAACAGAGATAAGGGGGTTATTTATTTCTCAAAGAATGTCATTAGTTTGTGGAATTTGCTTGCCCCAAGAGCAATGGAGTCATTAAAGAGTTTTAAGGCAGAGGTGGATAGATTCTTGACTAACGAGGAAGTTGAAGGGTACCAGGGAAAGGAAGCAAAGTGTTTTTGAGGCCACAATCGGATCAGCCATAGTCTTATTGAGTGATGGAGTAGGCAGAAGTAGCCAAATGGCCTGCTCCTGTTCCTAATTCTTCAGTTTGTACATTCAGATTAGTGTTGTTGAGCTGGAATCTTGAGATGCAGTCATCACAGGGTGGGGTGTGTCACCTAAACACTTTCACCCAGAGGTTTAGTAGCAATACAAGTCTGTTTAGATACTAGGGATAGGAAGATCTGACTGCAAGTCAGGCAGCTTAAGGAATCACCAGTGCAGTGGTGCACAAGCCTCAGCTTCTGCCCTCATCTGACAGGTACAAGATTTGGGCGGCCTGTGAGGGTGACAGCACTGTCTTCAGCATGCTACAGAGAGCTTTCAAGTGTGGGTAGTGAACAGGAGTGTGTCACTATTGTGCCAGTATATTCAGGGGTATAATGTACTCTAAAATCTCAAAACATTTCACAGCCAATGAAGTACTTCTGAAGCGTAGTCACTGTTGGAATGATGGATCTGCAACCACGAATTCATACATAGCAAGCTCTGACAAACAGCAAAGTTACAATAATCCGATAACATGTATGATGTTAATTGAGGGATAAAATTCGGCCAGGATATCTGGGATAAACAGCCTGCTCTTTGAAGTTGTGCCAAGGAATCTTTTATGTTCTAGATGGAGCAGACTGGCTCTCAGTTAACATTTGATCTGAAAGACAACACCTTCACAATGGAGCACTCCCTCAGTAGTTTATTGGAATGGCAGTCTTGATTTTTGCCCACAAGGTCTTTCATGGGACTTCAACCAACTGAACTGTAGCTAGCACACAACATGATGTGGGAAAATACAGCAGTAAAGAAATGGAGATGCAGAATTTTAATTTTCAGCACTGAGAGATTAGAATATGTTGACATACAGAGGGACCTGGGTGTTTTGAAATGTAAACTCAAAATTAACATGAAAGTACACCTGGAAATTAGAAAAGCAAATTGTATGCTAGCATTTATCACATTAGGATTGGAATACAAGGGTAAATAAATCTTACAACAATTAAGGGCTTTAGTGACTCTACAAATAGAGTACGGTGTTTGGGTTTTGGGTCTTCAAGAAACGATATCTTGCCTTAAGGAGAAGTGAAATGAGATTTATTGGACTGCTTCCTAGGATGAAGGGATTGTCTATGCAGAGAGTCTGGATAGACTACACCTGTAATCCTAAAATTTGGAAGAATGGGAGGTAATCTCATTGAAATGTAAATTTCGAAGGGGCTTGACAGGGTAGATGCTGCCAAGATCTTGCTGGTTGGAAATCTAGAAAACTGGGTCACAGTCTCAGACTAGGTCAGTCATTTAGAGCACAACTTAGGAGAAACATTTTTGTTCTGAATCTTTGCAATATGTGACCCCAGAGAACTACGAATGGAGCACATTTAACACAAAGACCAATGATATTTACATATTGAAGCAGCTAAGAGACATGAAGAAAGCACAGGGTGGCTAAGAGGAGATGGCAAGTCAGTCACAACTTTGGTGATGGGCAGTGCAGGCCCGAGGTCCAAATAGCTGACTGCTGCTCCTATTATTTATGTTCTTACAAACAGAGGTCCTTCTCCCTCAACTAGTGATGAAGGGAGGCTTAATAGGTGCTCAAAATCCGAGCACTTTAGATAGAGGATCAAGGACAAATTACTCCCAACAGCAGGAGAGTCAATGAGCAGAGGATACAAATCTGACGTAAATGGCCAAAGAGCTGGAGGTGAGGTGATGAAAAAGATCGTTTCTGAGATCTGCAATGCACTATCTGAAAGGGTGGTGAAAAGAAAAAGTTTCAATAGTAACTTGCAAAAGGAAGTTAGAACAAAAACTTGAAAAAGAAAAATTGCGGGGCTATGGAGCAACAGCAGGTGAAAATGGGACTAACTGGATGGGTCTTTCAAGAAGCTAACAGACATGATGAGCCAAGTGACCACCTTCTGGCTGCACCATTCTGATACCCTGAGGTTTGGCAATAGATTGTGATATCCTTTAGTTTTGCAACAATGTGCTGGGAAAACAGCAGGTAATTAGCAACACCAACGTAAAAGTACTGGATGCTGGAAATTTGAAATAACAAAAAATGCTGAAAATAACTCAGTTGGTCTGGCAGCTTCTGATAAAGAAAAAGTTAATGTTTCAGATTGATCACCTTTCAGTGGCCAATATCTATCCACATATCCAAATGAGGATATTAAAAGAACTCATTACCTTAGTCATCTGCTCATTGCTGCTTATTAGACAGCTTGTTGCACCAAATTGGGTTGCTGTGTTTCCTAATTACAAGTACACAAGAAAAGTATTTCTGACCTGTAAAATATCTGGAGGGCACTGAGGTTGTGAAAACCATGGCAGAAATGCAAGATCTCTCTTTCTTATTTGAAGGATCAGTACAATTTCAGTCGATGTAAAAAAAAATTGGATCTTGTGGTACTTGCCTGGTAGATTTTAGCATCTCTCATCAGTTTCTCCACAGGATATTCACTGTTGAATCCATTGCCCCCAAAGATCTGGACGGCGTCACTGGCAACCTGATTGGCAATGTCTCCCGCAAAGGCTTTTGCTATGGAGGCGTAGTAAGTGTTCCTCCGTCCCTGGTCCACTTCCCAGGCCGCCCTCTGGTAACCTAACCGTGCCAATTCCACCTTCAGGGCCATGTCTGCCAGCAGGAAGGAAACTGCCTGATGCTGTATACATAACAGAGGGAGGAACAAGATTCAGCTGAGGCAAGAAATAGCACAGTTGCATCTCCCCAGTCCAACTATGGACTCTCAGAATCTTGCATTACAGGGAAGTAATTCTGTCCACTGTACGTGTGCTGATTTGCTGAAACAGCTATCTAATAAATCACACGCTGCACCTTCCAGCAAAATCCTACAACATTTTCCCCTTTGAGTATCTCTCTAATTCCCTTTTGAAAGTCATTATGAATCTGCTTTCACTGCCATTCCAGGCAACCCATTCCAGATCACAATGCACTGCATAAAAAAAATTCTCATCTCCTTCGGGTCTTTTACTGATTTAATCTATCAAAAGACTTCATCATTTTGAACATCTCTATTAAATCTCCTCTTAAACTTCACTGCTCCAAGACAAGTAACCCAAATCTCTTTAGTCTCTCACATTACTGAAGTCCCTTAGTGTTAGTATCCCTACTCTCCAGTGATCCTTACCAGACACCAGTTTATTTCACCAAGTTTACAGAAGTCATCACATTTACAGAAGTTACTACGTTATGCTTGAGGTTATGATTCCAACAGTCGGAGTGGCTGGTATTCAGGCTCCATTGCTCCATGAGCTGTGCCAAAAGTATAGACGTTTTATTTAATCACCAAAATAGTCAATGTGTTTCTATTTATTACTGTTATCCAGAACAAGAGAGACCTTCACCAGTTTCCTTCAGCAGACTGAAAAGTAACATGTTTATTAAGAACAATTTTATTTTTAAACAAGTGGTTAAAATAGGTTAAATTTTCTTCATTCATTCACAGGATGAGGGCAACGCTCACTGGGCAGCATTTATTGCCCATCTCTAACTGCCCAGAAGGCAGTTCAGAGTAAACCACATTGCTGTGGGACTGGAGTCACATGTAAACCAGACCAGGTAAAGAATGGCAGTTTCCTTCCCTAAAGGACATTAGTGAACCAGGGTTTTTCTGATAATCGACAATGGATTCACAGTCATCATTAGATTCTTAATTCCAGATATTTATTGAATTCAAATTCCACCATCTGCCATGGTAGGATTTGAACCTGGGTCCCCAGAAGCTTTTCTGGGTCTCTACCGTCCAGTGATAATACCACTAGGCCATCGCCTCCCCCATACTAAACTACTAAACAACTAAACTACTATATAGACTTAAACTATAACCCTTAATCTCACAAGCATGCATTCATAGACAAGTCAGCACAGCTCTGCAGAAATATCATAGCTTTGAACAAATATGAAAAAAAGACCAACACTCCATAGGTCAAGTGTGCGAATTCAGAAGACAGAATGAGTTGATTTCTCACTGTTTATCTGATATAGACGAGGTCCAATTGCTGACAGTCACAGATCGATGGAAGATCATCAAGCCAGAGTACAGATTCAGATGTGAAACAGTTAGCACTTGGCAGTCCTGACAACCAAAGCTTTATCAAGTTTTTCAAAGTACCTTACAGAGAAAAAAGATCTCTTTATCTGGTTTTACTTTAAGGATTTTTCTCCTACTGCAACAGCGTACTAACACTGCTTTGCCTTTCCAAGCCACTTTACAACTGCCATTTCGAAGTGTGCACCAACTTAGAGAGCTGGAATCACAAGCTGGTCCAAGGCCAGCAGATTCCCTTCTCATAAGGAAATAGAGTCAACCAGTTCTGTTTGCAGGAATTTTGTCAGAGAACCTTCTTGCAGAGGAAGAATCCATTCAGCCCATTGCACCACACCAGCTTTGTGAAAGAGCAGGCAACAAGAGATAGGCAATAAATGCTAGCCCAGGCGGCAACATCCCCATCCCATGAATCAATGCAAAAGTCCAATTAGTCCAATTCCCCTACTTTTTCCCCACAGCACTGCAAATGTTCACTTTTCCAATAGTTATCCAATGTAACTTTTTGGAAGTTACTTTTGAATATGATTCCACCACTCTTTCAATCACTGCAATCCAGATCATAACTATTCACTACGTAAAAATGAATGAATCTTCCCCTCTGGCTCTTTAGCCAATTACCTTCAATGTGTCCCTTTGTTCACTGACTCTCCTGCCACTGAAAACAGTTTCTCTTCATTCACACAATCAAAATCGCTCTATCAAACTTCACCTTACTATTTTCTTCACTGCAGGAAACTGTCAGCGGAGCTTTCTGTGCACAGGACCAGAGCTGACAGCTAGCACCATTAACATTCACAACATTACTGGTCCAAGTCTGCTCATGCTGCTTCACAGCAACTTGTTACCCCTTTTGCATCCTCTTAGGACATTATACACACATTTCTGACGAAGGGACAGCACTCCAAAAGCTTGTGATTTCAAATAAACCTGTTGGACAATAACGTGGTATCATGTGACTTCTGACTTTGTCCATCCCAGTCCGACACTGGCATCTCCACATTCAGAAATGGTGGCAGTGAATGTTAGAACTAGGGCTCAATGGTATTTCACGTTTGAAGGGCTGCTCCTATTCTTATTTCTTATATCCTTAATCTTCACACTTAAAAACCTTTATTTGCAGACATACAGAATACATACATACACCTCCAACCCCAATGAGACTTTCAATTCCCAATGAATCTGCAGTCAAAGTCCAAAAACTGAATACAATTTAAAACAATTGATATAATTAACAACTGACAGAAAGCTCCAAGTGACCAAAGGCTGAAGCTTGGGTTTCTGAGGGCGATAGGCAGAGTGAAGCTGAGTGTTTCCAAGAAAGCAGTACAGAATTTAGGCTGAGGTGGTTCAATCTCTCCAACCAGATTTGAGTGAAGGCTGTGGATGGAGCATTGTGGTATGAATGCATAGGGAGGCCAGGGTCAGCAGCTGGACATAAGTCGGGATCAGAAGGAACTGTAGACTGCATCGACCTGACAGATTTCACGAGCATTCCTTTCAATGTGCTACAGCACAAATGACCATAGAATTTGAATTCCAGGAGCTCTGTGCTGCTAGCCCATTGCTTGGATGTACTGGAGAATATCCCCTAACCAAAATGGCCCAGAGATTAAATCTGTTGTAAACAGCCATATGTTTTCCTTTGAAATGATTCTCGGGATTTGGGTGCCAGCATTTACTGACCATTCCTAGTTGCCGTTGAGAAGGTGGTGCTAAGCTGCCTTCTTGAACCACTCAGTACATCCACAGTGCACTTAGGGAGAAAATTCAGATTTTTGACCCAGTTCAGGATGGTGTGGGACTTGGAGAGGAACTTGAACATAGTGGCGTTCTCATGCATCTGCTGTTCTTATCACTCTAGACCATCAATTATAATTATAATTATAATTACTGAAATATAAATAGTCAATGCTCAGCAGGTGGAGTCATTACTGCCTCTAGCACTTTCTGGGAAGCCCCGAGTGCTCAAGGAACAAGAGTACATGTTCACCGGGAAAATGTGTCTCTAATTATAACAAGTTATATTTATTTTATCTTCAGTTCATTTAAATTTCCCAAGGTGCCTCACAGACATGTTCATCCATCAAAATTTGGTGCCGATAGTAACAAGAATGACTCATGTCTTGGTGTAAATATAGGTTTTAAGGAGCATCATAATGGAAGGAAGAGGGGCATAGATGCAATCCCAGAGTTTAGTACCAAGGCAGCTAAAGGCAATAGCTCAACAATTGAAATTGGGGATGCTTAAGCAGAAGGTTGCACAGCAGCAGAAGCTTAGAGAAATAGAGAGGACGTTAGTGGATTAGGACATGAGAATGAACATATTAAATTTGAGGATTTAAAACTCAACCTTACCTGTGCGAGTAATCTTCCAAAGGTTTTTCTTTCCAAGGCATACTTAGTAGCTTCATCCAAGGCTCTCTGGGCTAAACCAACTGCTCCAGCAGCAACCTGTGATTATATTCGTGTGTACAGGAGGCAGAGTTCAGTTAAAGGTCCCAAGCATCCTAAGGACAACAGACACTGTGCTATTTATTGCACTTTGTGAACCAGTTTGTACTTTAAATAGGATTGAGCTTTCCATCACCGAGTTCAAGAGTTTTTCCGTTCAAGCCCAAGGAGTGAAGCATAAAACTAGGCTCCGAGTGCAGTACTCAGCAGTTGGGCAGTGGGGGAGTTCTGAGGGAGAACACAAGTAAAAGTGCTTTTAAATGAGCATGAATCAGAGGTCTCTTCTACCCTCAAAGAGACAAAGAATCCAGATCCAAAATTTCAGAGATGACCAGAGTAATGTGAATGATGTAGACTTAATGAGGGAGCTTAAGGTGAAAGAACCAGTAGGGGGCAGTGCCAATACTAAGATAGAATTCACCCTGCAATTTGAGAGGGAGAAGCTGGGATTCAGATGTAATGGTATGACAATTGAGTAAAGGTAACTACAAAGTCAAGAGGGACGAGCTGGCCAAAGCTGGTTGGTAGGGAAGCCTAGCAGGTAAGAAAATGGAGCAACAATGGTAGGGGTTTCTGGGTAATTCAAGAGGCACAGCAGAAATTCATGCCAAGGAAGAAGAAACATACTAAGGGGAGGACAAGGCAACCAGGGCTGACAATGGAAATCAGGGACAGCATAAAAGTAAAAGAAAAAGCATACAATGTAATGAAGATTAGTGGGAAGCCAGAGGATTGGAAAACCTTCAAAAACCAGCAGAGGGCAAATAAAAAATAAACCTATAAGTGGGGAGAAGATGAAACAGGAGAGTAAGCTAGCTAGCAATATAAAAAGAGGACTGCAAGAATTATTTTAGATATCTAAAAGGTAAGAGACAGACAAGAATGGACATTGAAACAATGGAAAATGAGGCTGGAGATGTAGTAACGGGGAACAAAGAAATGGCTGAAGAACTGAATAGGTACTTTTCATAGTCTTCACAGTGGAACACACTAACAACGTATCAGAACTTCAAGGGGCAGAGATGACTGCAGTGGCCATCATGAGGGGGAAGGTGCTGGGGAAGCTGAAAGGTCTCAAGGTGGACAAATCACCCAGACCAGATGGGTTACACCCAAGATTTCTGAAGGAAATAGATGAGGAGATTGTGGAGGCATTGGTGGCGATTTTTCAGGAATCACTGGAGTCAGACAGGGTTTCAGAGGACTGGAAAATGGCTGATGTAATAACTTTGCTTAAGAAGGGAGGGAGGCAGAAGACAGGAAACCACAAGCCTGTTAGCCTGACCCTCAGTCATTGGTAGGATTTTAGAGTCCATTTTAAGAATGAGATTGTGGAATATTTGGAAGTACATGGTGAAACAGGGCTAAGTCAGCATGGTTTCATCAAGGGGAGGTCATGCCTTACAAATCTGTTAGAATTGTTTGAAGAGGTAATGCACAAGTTAGACAAAGGAGAGTCAGTGGACATGATCTATTTGGATTTCCAGAAGGCCTTGACAAAGTGCCACACAGGAGACTGCTAAATAACAGAGCCCATGGTAAAGGGATAAGGTACTGGCATGGATAGAGGATTGGCTGACTGGCAGAGTGTGGGGATAAAGGGGTCGTTTTCAGGATGGTAGCTGGTGAATAATGCAGTTCTGTAGGTGGGACCACAACTACTCATGTTATACAGTCACCATCTGCATGAAGGAACTGACGGCATTGTTACTGAGTTTGCACATGACACAAAGACAGATGGAGGGGCAGGTAGTTTTGAGGAAGCAAGGAGACTGCAGAAGGACTTGGGCCAGGAGAGTGGGCAAAGAAGTGGCAGATGTAAAATAACGTGGGAAATTGTGAGGTAATGCACCTTGATAGAAAGAATATACTATTTTCTAAACAGGGAAAGGCTTCAGAAATCCGTAGCACAAAGGGACTTGGGGCTCCTAGATTGGAGTTCTCTTAAGGTTAACACATAGGTTCAGTTGGCAGTGTGGAAGGCAGATGTAATGTTAGCATTCATTTCAAGAGGACTAAAATACAAGAGTAGAGATGTTTTCGGTTGTTTTCAGCGGCAGCAGCGCGAGCCAGAGTGCCGACGGGAAGGTAAGGTTGTTTTTTCTTCCCTGTATAAAAATATACCTCGTGCAGCAGAGAACCTCGTGTTTTCAGCAACGGGTGTGTGGAGCGAACACAAGCCAGGAAGGAACTGATATATTCGAGCATTGGCTAAACCCGAAACACTACACATGTACTGTCTTCCACCCATCCTCCTCCTCTAACCAAAAAAATAGACTGTGCGGAGGGTCAGTAAGGTAAGGCTTTTTTAAAAAATTCTTCTGGAAATCTAGAGTAGAGGGAATGGAAGCTAGGGCAGTTGCATGCTCCTCTTGCATGATGTGGGAGGTAAGGGTCACTGCTGGTGTCCCCTCTGACTTCACCTGCAAGAAGTGCATCTAACTCCAGCTCCTCAAAAACCACGTTAGGGAACTGGAGCTGGAGCTGGATGAACTCCGGATCATTCGGGAGGCTGAGGGGGTGATAGGAGGAGTTATAAGAAGGTGGGCACACCCAAGGTACAGGAAAAAGGTAGCTGGGTGACTGTCAGGAAGGGGAAAGGGAATAGGCAGACAGTGCAGGGATCCCCTGTGGCCATTCCCCTCAATAGTAAGTATACAATTTTGGATACTGTTGTGGGGGGACGACCTACCAGGGGAAGGCCATAGCAGACAGGTCTCTGGCACTGAGCCTGGCCCTGTGGCAAAGGAGGGAAGGGGGGAGAATAGGAGAGCAATTGTAGTGGGGGATTTAATAGTAGGAGGCACAGACTGGCGGTTCTGTGGACACGAACGAGATGATCGGATGGTATGTTGCCTCCTGGGTGCCAGGGTCCGTGATATCTTGGATCGTGTCTTCAAGATCCTTAAGGGGGAGGGTGAGCAACCAGCAGTCATGGTACACATCGGTACCAATGGCATAGGTAGAAAAATGACAGAGAATGTGTAAAACGAGTACAGGGAGTTAGGTTGGAAGCTGAAATCCAGGACAAACAGGGTAGTTATCTCTGGATTACTACCAGTGCCACGTGATAACCAAGTAAGAAATAGGGAGAGAGTGCAGCTAAACACGTGGCTACAGGGCTGGTGTAGGAGGGAGAGCTTCCATTATGTGGATAATTGGCGAACATTCTGGGGAAGGTTGGACCCATACAGTAAGGACGGGTTGCACCTGAACCGGAAGGGCACAAACATCCTGGGAGGGAGGTTTGCTCGAGCTATATGGGATGGTTTAAACTAGATTGGCAGGGGGTGGAGAACCGGATTTGTAATTCAGAGGATGAGGTATTCAGCCTTCCAAAAGACACAACAGGGAGAGAGGTTGTTAATAAAGAAATGCGGTCGATGGAACGTAATTGTGGACACAGAGATGGTTTGAGGTGTGTATACTTCAATGCTAGAAGTATCAGAAATAAGGCGGATGAACTTAGAGTGTGGGTCAGTACTTGGAACTACGATGTCATTGCCATTACAGAAACTTGGGTAACTCAGGGAGAGGAATGGTTGTTGGAAGTTCTGGGATTTAGATGCTTTAAAAGAAATAGGGAAGGTGGAAAAAGAGGCGGGGGAGTGGCATTGCTAGTCAGGGCTAGTATAGCAGGTACTGAAAGGCAGTTTGAAAATGATATGTCTACAGAGTCAGTTTGGGTTGAGGTCTGGAACAAGAAAGGAGCAGTCACTTTGTTGGGGTTTTTTTTACAGACCCCCTAATAGTTGCAGAGAAGTGGAGGAGTGGATTGGGAGGAAGATACTAGAAAGGTGCAGAAGTCACAGGGTTGTAGTCAGAGGTGACTTCAACTTTCCAAATATTGATTGGAAACATTTTAGTTGTAATAGTCTAATGGAGCGGATTTTGTCCAGTGCGTTCAGGAAGGATTCCTGACACAGTATGTCAATAGACCAACACGAGGAGAGGCCACTTTGGATTTGGTGCTTGGCAATGAACCGGGCCAAGTGTTAGACCTGTTGGTAGGAGTGCATTTTGGCTGTAGCAATCATAACTCTGTTACTTTTACAATAGTCATGGAAAAGGATAGGTACATACAGCAGGGTAAGGTTTATAATTGGGGGAAGGGTAATTACAATTCTGTTAGGCAAGAACTGGGTAACATAAATTGGGAACAGATGCTGTCAGGGAAGAGCACTATTGAAATGTGGAGATTGTTTAAGGAATGCATACTGCGTGTGCTCGATATGTTTGTCCCGAGCAGGCAGGGAAGATGCGGTCAAGTGAGGGAGCCTTGGTTCTCAAGAGAGGTCGAACGAGTGGTTAAGAGGAAGAAGGATGCTTATGTAAGGTTTAGGAAACAAGGAACGGAAAAGGCTCTAGAGGGATACAAGTTATCCAGGAAGGAGCTGAAGAAAGGGCTTAGGAGAGCTATAAGGGGGTATGAGAAAACCTTGGCAGATACGATCAAGGAAAACTCCAAGGCTTTTTACATGTATGTAAGGAATAAGGGAATGACCAGAGAAAGGGTACGGCCAATCAAGGATTGTAAAGGGAATTTGTGCACGGAGCCTAAAGAAATAGGAGAGGTCCTGAATGAATACTTTTCTTTGGTATTCACAACTGAGAGGACTTAGTTGTAGAGCAGGACAGTGTGAAACAGGCCTGGAGGCTAGAGGAGGTCACTGTTAGTAAGGAAGATGTGCTAGGAATTTTGAGCAAGTTGAAGATAGACAAGTCCCCTGGGCTGGATGGGATTTATCCAAGGATTCTATGGGAAGCGAGGAACGAGATCGCAGGGCCTTTGGCGATGATCTTTTCGTCCTCACTGTCCACGGGTATAGTGCCGGAAGATTGGAGAGAGACAAACGTCATTCCGTTGTTCAAAAAAAGGGAATAAGGATAACCCCGGAAATTACAGGCCAATTAGTCTTACATCAGAGGTGGGCAAATTATTGGAAAGGGCTCGGAGGGATAGGATATATGATCACTTGGAAAGGCACAGTTTCATTCGT